TAAATGGTAAGAAAATGTAATAGTGTGGAAGTATTGGTGAAGCTAAGCTTTATCCCTTTCATATCCCTATTCCTGAGTTGTGGTTGTGATGGTTTTTGGTGATGTCCTCAGGTTTCACCCTAAGAGATGAATTATTGCCTTTTAAAAATGCCACTTTAAAATATTTGAAAGTCTTGATTTTTTTTCAAGACTATTTAAGGACAAAAAAAATGTTATTCATAGTTCAAGACCTGTGTAAAATTTAAAAGAAATCAAAAAAGCCAAGTGTAAATGTAAAGAAACAAAATATCATTTTTGTGCAAGTGACTTTATTTTGGCCCCTGGTTTTGCCAGAGGTTAATTCCATACATGTTCTTCTGTGCTGAGAAAATGAGGTAAGAAAAGATGCAGAGTTTCCCTAAACAGTTCAGCCCATGTCATCCAGCCACAGGGTTAGTCAGGAATTGAGGTTTTGGGTTTGTTGGGGTTTTTAAAATATGAGCTATTTGCTTAAGGCATTGAACTGAATCAAAGGCAGAGTTCAAAGCCCCCAACTGGCTCTCAGTGCCCTGAACCCCATCAGGCTGGTTGGGGTGGGTGAATCCTTACAAGTGCCACCTGTGGCAAGGCTGCCCCAGCTGAGACTGAGCTCCTGGCCCTGCAGGGCTCACCTGGAAGCCATAAAACCTTGAGTGGAGCCAATTTGCCTTGAGCTTTGAGCTCCTTTTTTCCATGGCCAGAGCTTTGTGCTCAGCTCTGGGCTGATGTGCAGGTGGCTGTGACTTTGGGGCTCTGAGTGGCCACAGCTCCCCTGGATGGTCCTGGCATCTGGCTGGCAGCATCTGCACGCCCTGCAGCATTCTCCCTGTTCCTGGGCAAGCCAAAGAGATGTCATCTCCCTGTATTTTCACAGTGTGTGGTAACTAGTCTATCTGGGTGATGAGTAAAGAAGTTGAGTCACTCTACGTTCTCCCTGTGTGAATGCTTTAAGCCACTAAAATTTTTTTATGCCTTAAAAATGTTAAGAGGTTGAATTCTCTAAGACTTGACTACTCCTTAAATCTTCTGCTTCTTGGTGTGTCAGTACACCACTTTAAAAAGCAAAAGCAGGCAGAGTTTGTCTGTAAGTTTTAACACTTGACCATAATTTTCATGTGTGTTTGTTTCTGGAATATAGAAAATAGTGGGAGATCCTTTAATCCAAGATTAAAGTTGATTGTCAGGCAAAAAAAAAAAAGGAATAAAAAGGCCTAATTTGCTCTGGCCTGGCTTTTTCCTGATGTGTTTATTCTAAACCAAGATGATTAGCATAGCAGAGCATGTTCCCAGAGTATGTGACTGCACTTCCATTGAGAAGGGATTTGCTGGCTGCTGCTCATGGCAGCCAATATTCTTGTCTAGGTTTTGTTTGTTTGGATGTTTGATGTGTTGTTAGGAGTTATAGGATTGAAAAGCTTCCAGAAGTCTTAGCCAGCCTCTCAAAATATCACTCCAGAAAAAATACATGTTTATATTTGGAAAAAAATAGATGTTCTTTTTACAAAATAGGTGCTTACCTGTAGTTTTGGTGGGGATGTGGAATCTGGGTATCCAGTTAAAACTTTCAGCTGTTACTTACTTGGCCAAGCTGACTAAAATTATTTTTGACTTGCTTCAAATACAGTGACACTTCACATGATTGTTTCTGACAAAACTGCAGCTTGAAAAGAATCTATTAATTTTTGAAAACCAGACTATTTCTTGCAAATGACTGCCCTGCTACCAATTCCATGCACCTGCAGGAGTGAGGAGCTGCAGGTTTCTTGCATCTTTCCCTGTCTCATTGCACACATTATATGAAGTGTGACTAAAATTGTGAAGTTTTTGTTTTGAATGAATGCTTTGAGATCTACTCCACCATGAATTCTTCTTGTTATTAAATATCACTCTTGTTTAGAGACTAGATTCCCTCTTATTAGCAAAACAAAATCCTGCAGGTGAATGAGGGGGTAGGAAGATAAGAATGTTTCCTTTGTTGTCTATAGGCAAAATGCTGCAAATCACACACAGGTGAAACTGTTCTAGTCTCCACCTAAGGAGACACACCTGGTTTGTTGTCTTTGAGGCAACTGCAGTGAGAAAAGAGCTTAGGCCTAAGGCTCTGCATGTTGTTTATACTCTCAGTAAAGTGATGGAAAGGGCCACCAGGCTCAAGGAGCTGCTGGAATGACTCGAAACAAACAAATTTAATTACTTTATTTTTTCTAAGTGGTGCTGGGAGAGTGAGAAACAGCATAAACTCCAGAATTTTCCAACAGGAATTAGCTTTGCAATGTGAATCTTGAAGGAATCATAGAAGGATTATAAAAATTAAGAACACGTGGTGTAAGGTTGTGCAGAGATGGGTAAGAAGGCATGTCCAGAATGAAGTTTTCTGGATTTATAGGGCAGAATACCTGATGTAGTTTGATCCACAAATGCTGCATGATGTATTTTGTACTTGCAACAAATCCAGTGATTTGTTAGGCATCAGTCTAGCTAAGAACTTCAATCTACATTTCATTTTGATGAGGTGCTCGTTAGTTCAGTTGCTCATCTCCATCCTCTGTGCTTCGTGGCTAATGGCTTTGATGATGATGGCACTAAATCACACACTTCAAGTTTAGCATTTCTTATCTGTTTTTCTATACCTAATCCTAAAATGCTTTTCATGGCAATTTTACATGTAGGCCAAGATCTGTCTTTTGACATTGTGGAAATTGAAGTCTGTGAAAAGGGGAAAGGTTTGCTTTTTGCTGTGACCAAACCTTGGTAGTTTGCAGAGGAGAAGCTCAGATTTTTTTCACCTTTCCTGGCAGTGTTCAAGGTCAGGCTGGATGAGCCTTGAGCAACCTGATCTAGTGAGGAGGTGTCTCTGCCCAGGGCAGGGGGTGGGACTAGATGTAAGGTCCATTCCAACCCTTAAATTCTATGATTCAGTGATTTGTCTCCAGACTCTGCTTGTCAGTACCTACAGTATGGCATTCAAACATATTTTTGACTCTGAGTTTGTGCATTTCCAGAAGTGCAGAGCTGTAAGTGAAGTGAATGAGGAAATTTTCATGTCCAGCTAAAAAAAAAAAACCACAAAAAAACCAAACAACAAAAGACATGCCTGTAATCAAAAGAGCTCAGGAAAATAAGATAATCATTACATTTTGATCACAAAGCCTTGTTGGGAGCTGCAGAGAAGTTGGTTATTCTGGAAAATTTCAATAAATTGTTTGTACAGCCTCAGCATAAGAAATCATTATCCACAGAGCTGGTTTTGGAGGTTCAGAGCCAACCAAGCACCCACCCACAGCATTTAACCTCTGGTATAATGGCACCTCTGCAAGGCAGAATGGATCTGGGAGGGGGAGTACTGCTCTGTGCATTAAGAAAACTTCAAAATAACGAGGGAATTTAGTCTTAAATACTTGGCTTCTGTTTTCATAGTTTATTATATCATGATTGGATTCCTTCTGTGGACACAGTCTTCTTAATAATAGTATTCATCTCTGACAGAGGTTAGAGCTGAAGAAAACTAGAACTGAGATGAAAGAATGGTATTTTTATTATTTAGCAGCTGAACGTGTCATTACATCAGAGTTGATATTGTGTAGCAAATTGCAAGCTGTAGTGAAATTGCTCTAAAAAGGATCTGTATATATTTTTCTAAAACTGTGATAAAGTCATTCAGCAGCACATTGAAATACATTTCTAGCTGAACTGTTATATCTCTTTTTCCCATGGTACAAGAACAGATGGCATTTATTTTTCTTACCAGTCCCTAGCAAAGCTGTTGTGATGCTTTGCCTTCCCTTGTAAATGCTTTCAAGTGAAGGACAAGTACACATGACCATAATGAATCTGCATTTTAACACGAGCTCTCGTGGTTTCTAAAGCAAACTTTTAATCAGCTTACAGCATCAGTCAAGTGGTTCATTACAAGGGGAAGATGAGCTGTTAGTCAGAATCAGTGGCACATGTTTCACAGGAAGGTTTTGAAGCAGATGTGTTTTTCATAGACATTTTTAATGCAACAAGTGAGTATTCCATAACCTGAGGGCAACTGCATGGGACAAATGCATTGATGGATCTGGAGGTGCTCACTGTCACACTAGAGCATTCCAGGGGGGACTGTAATTGATCTGAGAATCATAGAATCAACTGGGTTGGAAGAGACCTCAAAGATCACCCAGTCCAACCCTACCATGGTTACCAGACCATGGCACTAAGTGCCACATCCAGTCTCATCTTGAAAACCTCCAGGGATGGTGAATCCACCACCTCCCTGGGCAGCACATTCCAATGTCTGAGCACTCTCTATGTAAAAAATCTCTTCCTAATATCCAACCTAACCCTCCCCTGGCAGAGCTTGAGTCTGTGCCCTCTTGTCCTGCTGCTAAATGCTTGTGAGAATCTCAGCTGATCATTCAGTAACTGGTGTGCAGAGAGAGTTTCTGCACATAGTGACAGATATTTGGGGCTTTTATACGTTTTTTTTATAAACATAATATAAATTGCAATGTTTTCTAAAGGATTTTGTTTTAAAATTGTTGCAGCCTTAACAGAAATCTCGCAGCTCTGAAAATGTCTCTAAATACAACCTGGTGTAATGTTACTTGCCTGCATGACCAGAAACACTGCATAGTTCAACAAAAGGCTCTGTTCTGTAGCAAAATCATTTGTAGTGATAAATCAAAATGAAACTGCCAAGGACTGTAAATCTAGGGCTGCCTACCCATTTATGACTTTTTAGATTGCCTGCTCTAATGTGCCATGTTATAGAAGCATTGTTAGGAGCTGTATTTAATTTACTTGCTTTAAATTAGGCTTTAGTGGATTTGGTAGTGCTGGCTTAATGGTTGGGGTCCATGAGCTTAAAGGTCTTTTCCAACCTAAATGATTCTAAATTAATACTGTCTGGAAAAACCCATCATTGCTTGATTCAGAGAAAGTTTAATTTTTCTGGTTTATACAAAAATATTCAAAAAAACATGGTGCGTCATATTTTACAGCCTTCGACAAAAGAAAGGCAACTTGGCCCAGAAGCACTGGACTGGACCAGCCAACATAGTCAAGTGCAAGCCTTGCCCCATGACACATGCCAATGCTGTCTGTGGATCTGATGGACATACCTACACTTCCAAGGTGAGTTCTGCTTGTGGCCTGAGATCCCTGTGCTCAGCCAGGCTGTGGTATGAAGATGAAATGCCTCTCCTTAACAGGCAGTACTAAATTCCAGTCATCTTTGAGAATATTTTTGGTGGAAAAACTGCTAGTAAATGTAGGGTTTTTAGATATTTAACAAACAGCACATTAGCATGACAAATCCGAATCTTATGACTTTTATGATTCATGTTTCTCTAAACAGCTCATTCTCCTAAAGAAGTAGAACACTTCTAATATTGATGATGCAACAGAAAAGAAGTAATTTCATCAGATTCTCCTCTTCAGACAAGAGGATTTGGGGATAGTTCTTAAGATTTGGTCTCCAAATGATAAAATAATTTAGCAGTATCTTTCTTCAGTGATAGATTTATTTTTTTAAATTATGGTTTTTCTTCTAGGCTGCCTGTGGTTTTAATAGGCTTGTGTGCCAGATGCACATATATGGTACCATAAAAAAATTCCCATAACCCAGTGGGGATAAATTGGCTCATTGTTATATTGAAAATATGATCACCTTAGGGCTTTACTCAATAAAAGAAACTGGATTCACAGTCATTTAGCATTCCAGATCTTCCATTAGCAAATAAAGCCTTCCATGTCTTGGATACATGTTCCATAAACAGCACTTTAGGCACTGGAGGGCATGTTTAGCAAATACCCTTAAGGTTCTCTTATCTTTGTGCATGCAAGGTAGGGTTTAACAGCCAGTAAAACTACCCTTGAAAATCCAAAAATAGCTTCCACCCAAAAAAAAAAATCCAGGAAAATGAAACAATTGGGGGGAAAAATTCTCTGCTGTGATGTAGTAGTGATGATGCAGCAACATTCTCTTCTCAACTGGGCAGCTTGAATTCTCCATCCAGAAATGGGCACAAATATGAAAAAGCTGCCATGGCTCAGTAGTTTAAGCCTCTCTCAATTATAAATCCAAAAATAGCTTCCACCCAAAAAAAAAAATCCAGGAAAATGAAACAATTGGGGGGAAAAATTCTCTGCTGTGATGTAGTAGTGATGATGCAGCAACATTCTCTTCTCAACTGGGCAGCTTGAATTCTCCATCCAGAAATGGGCACAAATATGAAAAAGCTGCCATGGCTCAGTAGTTTAAGCCTCTCTCAATTATTTGCATGGCCAAAAAATCAGCAGTTAGCAGGAACTGTCATCCATGCACACACAAACTGCAGAAAAATTGGCTATACATTGCCTGTGAAGCATGTTACTCTTTAATACTCTAGAGTATGCATTGCAGTAATTTAGCATTGCTACTCTGGATTAAAATTGGGCACATTTGAAAAAAAACTTCTGTCTCAGCTCTTGAGAGTATGTAAGGTATTCTGCAGGAAACAGATTTGATATTCTATAATAAATAGATTTCATTGCATATTGTGTCATCCTCTTAGCTCATTTCTGTGCATCTTACCTGCATCTGTTAGCTCTGAGTGGTTTTCTTTGGCCTTCTCTATTTCTCACCACAAAATCTAAATGGCTTCACCAGAAGTTCTGCCAATGTTATAAACTCACCAAACTGTTGTGATTATGATATAAACCTGACAACTGTAATGAAGAAACAAGACAATTCCTGTTGCTGACACACTTTACTGTCCAAGACTCTTCCCAGAAGTTGCCTCTGTTTGGTTTTTGATTTTTTTTTTCCTGACAACTGTAATGAAGAAACAAGACAATTCCTGTTGCTGACACACTTTACTGTCCAAGACTCTTCCCAGAAGTTGTCTCTGTTTGGTTTTTGATTATTTTTTTTCCCAAAGGAGTCTTTTAAAAGATTTATTCTGAAACAGCTGTTTCTCATCTTTATTTATTGTATGTTTAGCTATCAGTTGCTCCTGTTGTGGCAAATATTTTTTCAGGAGACCAATTTTAGTAACTGAGCTGAAAAAACTTTAGGCAGAGCAGTAACATGAAATAGTATATGTTAGTCTCATATCAAATAACCTATTTATGCTCAGGAATGTTCATGAGTTTCTGGTATTTTTTGCAAACAGAATATACTGCTTCCCTCAAATTCACTGTTAGTTTGCACCAGGCAATGTGAGTCCTCTTTCTTGCCTTTAAGTCACTAAAATCAAAACGTTCTTTGGTAGTTTTCTTTCACTTGCCAGTGCTGTTGGCAAGTATCATTTCTGGTATTGACAGGGAAAATGCCAAAAGGTGAGCACTGCTCTAAGTAGTTATGTATTGGTATGTGACTCTGCATCCCCCACTTTGTGAGCATCCAGTGATGTGCTGGGCAAAGGGACAGTTTCTTGTTCAGCTTGTAAACAAAAATGGACAGTAGCCACTACATTTCAAGGGAATAAAATCTGAATTTATATGTCAGCAGCCAGGAAGGACACACAGGCACACTAGCCTTTGATCCACCCTGGCTCAGTGTGCTTTTGGCCTCTGCACAGGTTTTGGCTGCACAGCAGGGGCTTAGGTTTGAGGTTTGGGCTCATAGTTCCTGGCCTGGTAGAGCAGCATCAAAGTGTTTCACTAGTGACCTGGAGCAGCTATTCAACATCAGCAGTAGTGTTTGTACCCAGGGATTGCTCTTTCCATTCTTTGAACTGTTGGCTAAGGAAAATAAGAGTGCCTAGGAAAGGACACAACAGAAGTGTGACTGACTGATCAAATGCAGGTGAAACTTGGGTGTCAATAAATGCACAGTAATTCACATTCATCAAAAACAGACATACCAAATATAGATATCACAGGCTCTCATTTAGCCACTCAGTCCCAGGAGAATTCTGTTTCTCAGAAGACATTGTAGACCTAGAGGCAAAAATTTCTTAATCAAATTGGGGAATGTCATTCAAACCAAAGCACTCAATAATACAAGGGTCATAAGAGGGGAAAAAACCACTAAAAGGTAAACTCAACTGCAGTGTTTTTGGACTTGCATAATTTTGTTATATATCTGGACACTTTATAAACTATCACCCCTTCCTGTGAACTTTGAACTCTGAGGGCTTTAGGTTTATCAAAAATTTCACTGAGTCTCTAGTCCCTGCTTGAAATGCAGATGTTTTAAAATGCACACTCACTCTCCCATAATAACTTAGTCCAAAGGATGTGCCATTTCCTGGGTATAACAGCTCTATTTAATATTGTGACAATGCAAAGCACTTCTGTAGATTATTACAGTCAGAGTTTTCAAAGCTCTTGAAAGTACTAATGAATTAAGCTTATGAGGTACGTAAGCTCTGTAAAGAGCGCGATGTAATTAGTTAATGTTTTTGTGAGCGACACATTAAGAAGAATAACTTTGTAGTTGTCAGTTTTACAGGAAGTTTAATTAAGCTTGTTAATAAAGCAATTACCTGAACATGACGATGACTGCACTTTACTAGTCAGAAAATGAAAATTAGGATGATCTTAAATTACAAAACATACCACCTCGATGACTAATGGTCCCTTCAAAGATGGAAAGGTACGTTGGTATAATTATTATGTTTCTAATTAGGTACATTGTTGTTTTGCAAATTTTAATTAAATCATTGTGAACTAATTAAGTCCATGATCATGTCTCTTTTTGTTTGAAAATGGTAAAATCATCTCCTGTTGTCGTAACATTAGGTAATAAATTTGATTCTAAGGGATGTGCAAGAGAGAATTTTCCAACAATCTTGAAACAGGAGGGGAAAAAATTATGACCAAATTAATGAGGAACTATTAGCTATATGTGTGCAATGTGAGAGCTGCTATGTTTAATTAGGACAGGTCTGTATTCTGAAGCACATTTAGCAAATACTTGTTAAAGTGTCCAAGTGTTGAGCATTTAGTGCAACATGGTTTGGTTTTTCATAATCCCTTTTGGCTGGATCACCTGTCCTCTAGCTGTGGGATGCTGTTACTCAACTGTGCTTTTTTTGCACAATTTTTCCTCTCTGTGGTTTGTCTAAGGGATGACTTAGCCCTTCCTGATAGAAAATAAGGTACTCAGCAGAGGCTTAGCAAGTGTTAGGTTCTGTTGTGTACCCAGTTAGATGGAGAGTTGGAATAAATCCTGTGTGAAATTTTAGCTTTGGTTTGGTTTTGTAAGGGAAAATTAAGGAAATAAAGAGGAGGTGGGGGAAAGGAAAGACAGGAAGAATAAGATAAGGTAGGATATGGTTAAAGAAATCTATGGAGGAGAAAATTAAGTCACCTTTGTGCATCTACTCCATGGTCAAATTTTAAAGATTGTTGGTGGGAACTACAAGAACAAATTACTCTTTCCTTTCTATTCTCCTCATTTTCTTCATCATCTTACTTTTAATCGATGAACTCAAACCTTTTGAGTCCAGAGTCTAGGCCTGACATAGTCTGTTGTGGCTTGAACCTACACATGGTAGATCTGATAGATTTCCCAATTCTTCCCCTGACCTATGCTGTGATGCTAAGCAGTTATGTTACCTTTATTCCTAGGCTGGAAAGATTTGGACTCCCAAAAAAGTACTTGCAGAGCTACTTTGAAGTCATGATGACAAAGCTTGCATAATTTAGGTTTGCAGAGTTGGGATGCTGTTCTCTTGTGTTATACTAAATGAGTCTCTACACAACATGACAGCACCATTGCTAAGCTTCCCGGAGTTTTCTGATCAAGTCGATCAGGTTTGGTACTAAATGAGTCTCTACACAACATGACAGCACCATTGCTAAGCATCCCGGAGTTTTCTGATCAAGCCAATCAGGAGTTTTTTTTTATGGAGTACCCTAATTCCTTTGTGTGGAAATTGATAGATTTCATGGGATGTGGCTATTTTGATGGAGTTTTTTACAGAAAAAATATTTTACAGCATCATACCTACTTCTGTATTCCAGTAGCAGATGTTCAACATCCATTCCTATCTCATTATTTGATTCCATGGGTTGCAGGGCATTTCCTAACTGCAGCAATGGAGCTGATACAAGGCTTTTAGCACTACTGACTTTATTCTCCCAAACAGCCACAGGGAAAGGCCAGAGGGCTGTGGGAGAACTAGAATTTGCCTGATGTTGAG